AATCAAGAGTCAAGAAATCAATAGCAGTATATGACAGTTGAGATGAGAATTGGCATTGCAACGCGAGATGATGGGGAGATTCTGCATTCCTCTTGCACAAATAGCATCAATTGACCAGAGTCGCATTTAAAAAATCTCACCGCCAAGGATTTACTAGGAGTCAGTTTTAGTATTAGCACATAATGTTCAAGTGGGGAAACACCGTTTTGATAGATAATGGAGAAATCCTCTATACGCATCTATTTCGTAATCATTGAGATTCCTATGAAGCTTCATATTCTAAATTACTTAGACTCATAAAAACTGAGACAAGGCCCGCAGTTGTCAAGAATAATTGTGTTGTATTTCCTATTGAACAATACGTTCCTATATACACAAGTTTTAAGGATAAAAAAAAGAAAGTCAGAATTAATTACAAAGAGTGCATTTTACTATAATATCCTTTAATCTAGTTTAGCACATAAAGTATATTCTTTAGTTCTCCTTCTCAAGTTGGGAAATATATGTTATCCATCTCCAGCTTGGTAATGATGGTCTGGAATGCTGGATTATTCGAACTCTTGGTCAATATGTTTGTAAGTTGTAAATTGATAGGCGCGTAGAGTGTATTGTTAGGCCACTATCGAGGTTTTCTTTAATAAAATGTCTATTAACTTCAGTGTGTTTTACTTTCTCATGTTGTACAGGATTGTAAGTAATATTTATTGCCAATTTGTTGTCACAGTAAAGATGTTAAGCCATTATTATTGAATCTTTTTCATCCCATGCATCAAAATTTGGCTCTCCCAGTTTTGGTATGGTTCCTAGAATGGGACTAATTTTTCATTTTTCCTTTTGAATGGTCCAAATTAGTTATGACCAGTTCAATTAGTTTTCTCATTGAAACAATAGGCAGCTTCAATTGGTTGGAATTCTCCATTAGTTTGTACAGAATTTTTCATGTGGGAATTTGTGTCAGTAATTTGAGATGTCGTTTCGAATATAATTCAAGGTTTTAGGACAATTAAGGCAAATTTAAAGTAACAAAATAGAGGTTACTGGACAGAAAGTTGTGCAGGGAGCGCAAGCTGTAGTTCACCACTTATGGCTGGGTGCGGCTGGTCACAGGAGAGGAGCTGCAGCTTGCGGCTGGGTGGCTGGAAGCAGCTGGGTAGCTGGTCACAGAAGAGGGAGCCACTGCTTGCAGCTGGATTGCTAGTGCCATTGGTGATGAAGATCGGTCTCGGTTGCTGGTGGCTAGCGGCTGGGAGGTGGTGACCGGTTATGAAGGCTGACCTCCTTTTTAGGATTTTTTTTATTAATAGGATTTGTAAAAGAATATAGGTCTTTTAAATGTATAGCTTTGATACCATGTCAGTAATAATTATGTTGTATTTCTAGTTTAATAATACGTCCTTAAGTATACTTCTAGGGATAAGAAAAAAAAAGTTACAATTAATTACAATCTTAATATTCTTTAATAATTATGTTGTATTTCTCGTTAAATAATACATCCTTAAGGATACTTCTAGGGATAAGAAAAAGAAAGTTACAATTAATTACAATTTTAATATTCTTTAACTTAGTTTAACCCTATTAACAGATAAACTATTTTCTTTAACACCATTAATTCTTTACTTTGGGCAAGAGCAAAATAATGGAAAAGAGCTGCTTCAAAATTACCATCATCAGACCAATCATCATATTAAAACTATATTGTTCTACTAGAACCTTCTTCATGCTTCAAACAATGGAATTTGCATTTTCTTATGTTTTTGTTTCAATAGGCCCTTTCCCATAGTATAAATTTAAGTCTTTTTCATTTAGGAGTGTGAAGTGTAATATGTCCTGCAAAGAGTCCCATTGAAAGTCAATGTACTTTCTATTACTTCCTGAGATCAACTTAGTGGCGAACTAAAACAAGAAACTTTGCCATGATGAGCTGAAAAAGGAAGAAAGTTTGTTTTGGATTGAACCTCCTTAGTGCTTCTAATGATATTTATTTATTTTGAAAAAGATACAATCTTTTTACGTTGGAGAATTATCGGTTATTATTTGAGGAAAATTTAATATTTACTTTGATTACCATAATTTTTTTTTCAGGCGAGCTAGCTACAGAGCATGATGAACTGTGATTACTAAACACTTAGAGGAGAGCTACAAAATTGTGCAAATTGCTACTCCTTTTATTCCATGGAATAACTGTGTGCCTATTTCTTTGTGAAATTAGGCAACCAGATCAATTATTGTGTTATAATCTCTTTATCATTTTCGGTTCTGTACTTCCCTTATATTTCCTCCTTTTTGTCCTTTTGCATATATCTGTGTGTATTGTCTGAAATATGTGAAATCGGATACCACGCCATAAGCTTAACTTATACTGGCTATATCCATAGATTATATCAGCTTCTACCCTCTCAAAAAGGAAAATAAGTAAAGAAAAATGCTTTAATTGCTTCTAGGACTATGAATTTTTCAGGGATTTTGGTTGTCATTTAATTAATAGATTATTTATACCCATATACTGTTGCTTTGTTCTAGACAGGTGGCAGTTGATTTGCTTTAAAAATTAGTGATAATTCATGTTCCACTTGTAAGAAAATGTTTGAAGATTAGTTGCATCTGTAGGCAACATTAGAGCTGAAAGTGAGTGACTTTTAAATCTGAAATGATACTAGGCTAATCTAATATGGTATTGACGTGTTTGGGTAGAAAGGTGTTTCTTAGAGGTTTATATGTGACTAAAGAAGCTTGCAAGTCCTAGAGAATGTATGAGTTTTTCTTCTGGGTATCTGAAGCTTATGCTACGGCCATCATCTCCTGGCTAAGTAGTATGAGTCGACTATATCTGTTAGCAGGGTGTATCTGTTAGCAGTGTCATGGACAATGTTCCACATACATGGTTTATATCAGCTAGCTGTTCTATTTCAATGCAAATCAATCGAAGTAGGCCCGTCCTCTTTTGCTCGTAGACCTTTTTGTTTGTCCACGAGGATGATAAGGTCTGGCGTTCTCATAGTGTGATTTTGATGCATGGAAAACTACAAGCAGAAATAGAATTAGTTGCAAGAGTTTTAACTAATGAAGATTAGTTGAAAACTAGTTAGACTAGGAAATAGATGGTTGCAAATAGTATGCTAGCAAACTTAAAAATATCAGGGAAATGAATAAGGAAAACCCCTCGTCCCTTTTTTCTTACTTTCTTGTCTTTTTCCTTTGCCTTCACCTTTGCTAATCTCTCTATGAATGTCCAACAGATATAACTCAGTTGTATAAAGTGGTAGACCCAAGCTTCTGAGAATAGTGAGTTTTCTTTTCTCTCACTTCTCTATTCCTGTAAATTCTTCTCAATATCTCTCCTTTAAGTTCTTTCTTTTCTTTTTCTATATTTCTCAATTTCTATCTTTTTAATTTGATATAGGACAACTTAAGATTAATTTACCTATCTATTTAGAAATTTGGAGAAATCCTAAATATCACACGTTAGGTTTTTGGATATCAGGCCTAAGATTTGATTGAATTGTACAATCAAGTATTGAGAAATTCTCAAAATATATTTTTGAATAATTGAAATCTGTCTCAAGAAGTGAAATTGTTTAGATATTTACAATACTCACTAGGTAATTTTTACTAAATAGGATCAAATTAAGAAATACTAAAACTAATAAGGGTAGGAATATTATTTCTAATAAAAGTAAAAATACTAATAAAAATAGGAAGCCTATATGTTAATAAGAATAAAATCTCAAAGTTACTAAAAGTATAATAATAGACTCGTAAATAGAAAGATTATTCTACATTTAATATAATTATAATTTGTAATTTATTAAGTAATTTATCGTTAGTTCACTTTGCATCATTTTCTCTTGGTAATGCAATACACATTTGTTTATTAATAAACCGAAGATCCAATAAAAGCCGAGCTAGTCAAACTACGAGGGGGCCACCATCTACATGGAGGATTGATGTCCACATCATACAAGGACTTAGTTTATGGTGGCCGAAGTGCTTAACCTTCCAGAATTAGTAAGCCTTGCAAAATTAGTTAGTGTTACGAAGCCCTAGATATCTAGTAGATACATAACTCACATGGTTTCTTTTTCTTTTTGTTATCTTGATAGGAGTGATCCTTGACTCTCTTTTCATCTGCATAAACATACATATCGAGGAGTTGTATTTCTTTTACATTCTGGAAAACTATTGTAGTGACGAGCTCAGTGATGATAGACTGTAGAAATTTTCATTTGCAATGACGGGATATCCTTTTAACCAGTTGATATTGGAAGATTTAGCTGTTCAACATTGTGATTTATCAACCAAACAACATCTCACACATAAGTTATCGGTCTTTCCTAAACATTCCTAACCACACCAATTAAATGATGTTAAATAATTAAAACCAAATAATAAATTCTCTTGTGATTCACGGGTTTCTGCAAAACCATCTTCTAACATATACATCCATGCAAAACCAGCCTTCTTTTAATAATGTAGATCCTTCAATTTTAATGTTAAGAAAACACTTGGCCAAGTAAACCGTGCTTATACTCACTTTAATTATCATGGTCTCTTTAAAATATTGTTGATAATATATATAATGTAATATAATTAATCATGTTAAAAAGAGTGATCTTGAAAGCGGCAAGATGAATAAAGAATTCTCCCATGCACTTGAGATAAATATTATGAGGAAATAAAAAAAAAAAAAAATGGTTCTACCAATGGTGTTATGAGTTTTAAGTAGCGTGCAAAACCAATTTGGCTTTAGAATTAGGGATCATTGTAGAAAGTCAACCCGACCCCTTTGGTGCACGTGTTGGACCGACAGGGGATTATGGGATTAACTATGTCTTTGACACGTAGCCGACCTCCATAATCAAACATGGCCGTCTGACGCGACGAGGATCACTTGATTGGGTCAGTCACGTGATTGGGATGTGCCCAGTGGGGGCCATTATCAACGAAAGATAAACTAAAAATATTTGCTTTGAAACAGATCTATCTGCCATCATTTTAGTTGCCACGGTATTATCATTTATTTATAGGCTGTCTAATTGCCCCAAAACTTCACTGCATTCGTTTGTTGCTACCCTTTGATGGAGTATATTATATACAGTGACCTTAATATATAAATATATCGTAAATGCCACTGCCATTGAGGCAGTTTGAATAATTGACTAACCTTTATAGTGTTTTTACTTCCCATTGCTCTAAATCTTAATGAAATTTAAGTTTATAATAGTGCTTTTAAAATTGAAAATTGTTTGAATTACCTATTTATTTTTCTAACTTTTTAGATTCCAAATACTATAAAGTGTTTATGTAGATTTTTAGATGAATGACTACAAAAGGCAATTAATTATTTTTTTAATTAAAAATTAGCTTTTATGTATTTTTTATAAAAATTATAAAATATTCTTGCCATTCAAAATTTTTATGTAAATTCATACTTAATTCAACTAGAAAATAAGAAATCTCTTTATAATGAGAAAAATTGACCTCATGAAAATGCATTCTATATTTGATCAATTTTAATAGCATCAGAATAATAAATTATATGGGTTTAATTTTTAATTATCTTAAAACGAATTGCATGCTCTCTAAGTTTCCAGTTTCTTTGTGATTACTTTTGCCCTTGCATTATAGTGCTGCCAAATGTCATATTTCTCCGTCTTTGTATATGATTTACATGTATAGGTGTATATATATTGTGAGATTGCTACAATAATATCTATACGAGACAGACTTTTAAGAGAGACATGGTCATGTCTATTTGTGGTCTACTAATACAAAGGATTGGGTGGCATTTTAACCACATTTGATTGCAATGTTAGAAGAATTTTAAGGTTTGTCTATTTTGACATTCAAAATGGCACCTTGGAGATATACTTATGTACAAAAGCTCTTATAATGATATATACTTATGTATCTCTTAATATATCTGCATATAAGGTTCATCAGAGTTCAATGCATTAAATGCACTCGTCATCTATTGGTTTAAGAATAGATTCAAGTAAGTATCAAAAGACAATTCGAGGGACGAGTTTTCACTTTTCACGTCATCTGGAAGATGAATTTGGGATGAGTTTTATGAAATTATAGTATAAAAAATAATTACATGTATATATTTATATTTACGAACTATAAATAAACTATATTATGTGTACGGTAAAATGTGTTTGTGTGTATAAAAAAAGTATACTAATATTTTTTTTATTATTTTCAAATATCATACATTTTTTATATATAAAGAGATATGTGTATATACATAAATGGAAAATAAAAATAATAAGATTAGTAGTATACAGACTGATCTTTCTTTTGTCCAGTATATTCGAATGAAATTCAAAGCCTACTCTTGCATGTTCCATTCGTGCATCTGCTGCTTCCTTATCTTTCTAGTTGCTCCGTTCCAGAGCAGTCCTGGACTATGATGTAGTTATAAGGAATGAGAATAACTAAAAGAAGAGAAAGTGCCATAGTATAAATTTATTTTTTTCTCGGTTAAGAGCACGCTTACGCATGTTATGTTAAGCCTTGTCTACCTCTCTCCTCTCATGGGGACTTGATGTCCTTGATGGTGCTGGGGATAAAAATGTAGATTTGTGAAATAATATATTAGGATTGGATACTTGATTATTTAAATGTTGGAGTAATTTATTTTGCCATATATTCTAACACAGTTTTGTATATTTATTTAATCAATATTTGATAAATTTTGTTATACTGGAGGATTTCAATAATGAGCAAGGGAAGGATAAGTAGTAATTAGAAGAGATCAAAATTTGAGTGCGAGATCTTTAGCTCCGGAACAATAGAAGTAATGGTGCTTAGCTGATTCTTTTTATAAAAAAAATTAAAACTAAGGTAAGATAGATATGTGTTTGAACTTTGAACCATCACCAAGTAACATGTAGTTTCCTTGGATGGTGGTTGTTAATGATATATAATATGAGATGCCACAGTATCTATCGGGAACAGCCAAATCTGACGAACTTGGTGATAGTAGCAAATTTTGTTTAATTTCAGACTAGGAAATTATTTATATTCTTCTACATATTAAATTTGCTACAGTTAAAACTAGTTGTTCAAATAATTTACCAGCTAACCTGGAATGTCTTTGTTGCCAGTTCATTTTTCAAAAAATTAAATGAATAATCTTCCATTTCTCTAATGATTATTTAAACATGGAACAGAAGATTTAATGAAATATTTTTAGATCATATCATCTAAAAAACATTTCTGAAAGAAAATCATGTGTAGATTGTTCTTACAAAAGAATGATGGAGCAGGTGAGAGGGAGAAGTCGGCGAGGGGACATCACCACGGGTTATTCTCTTCAAATGTTTGTTGCTATTAGGCTATTATACGACCCTATGTCCTTTTTTCTTTCATCTTTCAACTTCTTTCCTTATACAATTTTCTGCTTTTTCACCTGGAATGCACTTGGATTATTATTAGATAGATCATGAATTTTAAAAGGATTTTCACTGGCCATGTATATATATATATATATAATTAATAGCAACTTGCCATACATGCAATGTTGGTGGCTTCTGGTTCATTAATGCAAAAAGACTGATCCCATGGTCAATATAGCATGTGCAATTGTACCATCCTTGTAAACACGACTAGGGAATACTAAAATTAAGTAAAATTGAAACATCAGTTCTACACCAAAATTTCCTGGGGTATCTCCTTCGTGTCACTGCTATAACCATTCGATAAGATTATAGAGATTGAATAAGCTTGTGCTAGAAAAGCTTGTATAGAAATCAGTAAAATGATCAGTTTGAGGAAATCTGTGCCACGTAGTTTGTCACCCGTAGAATCCTCTCCCATGTGTACATAAAATATAGATATATGATTTCTTTTTTATATTACAAGAGAATGTCTTCATGTTAGCCAGATATGGGCATATTACCTGTATAAAGACTGGAAGAGGGGAGAGAGATAGAGACGGAGGAGTTTGAACACACTATACAATGGTTGGAAGAAGGGGATAAATAATCTGGCAAAAGGCCGTGTTTGGGAACTTGAACCACTTAAATCCGCCATCAAAGTCATCAAACCCTCATCTCTTCATTGTCTTCTATATTTTTAACTCTTTCAAAGCTTCTCTCCTGTTGGCTTCTTTATTACTGAATCAGTTCCCTTAACACGTTCCTATTTATACTCTGTCCATCTCCATCACGTTCCCATTTGGTTCCTCCAAAATGAAGGTGATTGCTATATCTACTTTTTATCTCCGCGGGAATGATTTTTTAGCAACAACTTACCGTATTTGATGTGTTGAATTCTTAGAAAGCTTCTATTTTCTTTGATGGCAGTTCTTTGGTTGGATGCAAAATAAGCTTTCTGGGAAGCAAGAGAGCAAAAAACACAACGCAATCTCCACGACCCGTAAGCTTTTCATCTCTGCTCCTTACTTTTCTTCATTGTAAATGTTTATTCATAACAAGATACTACAATAATTGACATTATGAAGATACAATTGCTTAATGGAGTAAACCTTCACTCCTTTTTTTCTGTCTGCATAATGGGATTTTAGAAGGTGATAAGCATGACAGATTGTTATTGCCTTCTAAATTAAGTTGGATTCTTGATGTTTATATTTTAAACATCTTTATGGTTCAGCGCCCACCTTTAGTGGTGAACATTTCCGCTCCTTATGTCAATTTGTCTTATTAAATGTAATCAAAATTTCTTCCCGCTAAAATTGGTATCAAGGTAATAAACAAGGAAAGTAAATTGAACATTTTTGAATAAAAACTTCGCTCTTTTTCTGACCCCAGGAGCTATTCATGGGGTCAAGATTTGTTTTCGAGAAGGCTCTGAGTCTTTGGCCCAATATTTGTTTTTCTTTTACTTTTTAAGATGTTTCTTGAGTTTGTGAGTGTGCAATTTTGTCATGTTCTTCCAAAATAATAGAAGATTTTGAGAGGATTGTCTCCTAATAAGCACTAGTACTTTTCTTAGACTTGTACGAGGTCATGAAAGAACTGGACAGCTGGGACCTGGGATCTTCAAACCTCGATTCTAGGCCATTTCTTTCAATGGTTGTTGATGCTCCCGATCTATGTTTTCTGGACTATCCTCTAGGCATTCCCTTGTGGATACTTTTTGCATTAAATAATAAAGGTGCAAAAGGAAAGAAAGAAAAATTCAACTTTAAAAAAGTTCATTTCTTGATTATAATAATATCCTGAGTTCTGTCCATTCAGTTATTCTTCACTGCTAATTTGATTGGTCCATGATTATAATGTTTGATGAATCTGGCGATTTTTTCTGTTCGTCATGCAATTCCTTCTATCTTGTTATTTAGATCATGCGAAACAAGAATCACGGGAAGAGTTCAGTGACTGGCCACACGGATTGCTCGCAATAGGAACCTTTGGTAACAATGATCTAAAGGATAATTCAGATGACCAAGGTATCCAAGGGGAACCATCCAACATTCAAGAAGATCCATCTTCATCGGAAGATCTACAAGACTTCTCTCCTGAAGAAGTTGGAAAATTACAAACAGAGTTAACAAAACTCTTATCACGAAAACCAACTTCTGATGTGGAAAAGGAACTCGCAAACCTTCCACTGGATAGATTTCTTAATTGTCCTTCAAGCTTGGAAGTTGATCGCAGAATCAGCAACGCGCTTAACAGTGATTCGGATGATAAAGATGGAGATATTGAACGTACAATCAGTCTCATACTTGGCAGATGCAAAGACATTTGTGCAGATCACAAAAAGAAAGCAATTGGTAAAAAATCCCTCTCTTTCCTTCTCAAGAAGATGTTTGTGTGTAGAAGTGGTTTTGCACCAACACCAAGCTTGAGAAATACACTTCAAGAGTCAAGACTTGAAAAGGTATCTATAAGTCTATTATATAATGGTCAATGAGTAATAATTTTTAATGCCAGTAGCCTTCTTTTTTAAACTTATGTACATGATATTTGTTTGCAGCTTTTAAGGGTAATGCTTCACAAGAAGATTTATACTCAAAATTATTCTCGGGCATCATCTATGAAGAAATATTTGGAGGATAAGCAAAGTTCGGACAAGAAAGATGAAGAAGATGAAACTAGGGAGAAAGTAAGCAGTGACGGATATAAATGGGTGAAAACAGATTCTGAATGTAAGTTGATTTTGAGCTGCCGTTCTATCTATATCTTATTTGGGCCTATGACTATGACGTATATACAAAATGAACTGTAAACTAATGGGATCTTGTTTATTGCAGACATTGTTCTAGAGATTTGAACCTGTCTCCGCTCTTTGAAGCACTGTAATTAAGTAGGTAGTCTTTTTAACTTCCAAAATTTCAGTTCCTCTCTCTAAGTTGATTTTTTTTATATATAAAAATATGTACTTGATTCCAATATTATCGAATTATGCAGATTCAGAGTTGAGAAATGGAAGTAGTTGGAGTGAGTGAAATATTTGGAAAGCAAATAAAGCTTTGTGTGGCGTATGCTGAATAGGACTAGTAAATTTGAAGATGGATAACTAGTTGATGGGTGCATTCCCCCTTTTTTTTTCATGGTTGTATCTGTCGAAGATAAGACAGATCAACACATGTTATATTGAGATATCTGTATCTGTATCTGCACTGCCAAAAGCTTCTTTTCCAACATTTTTTTCATCCTATTTCTCTACACCTTTTTTGCTTTGTTAAGCTTCTCCTCTTTGTAAGATAATTTTGAGGTGAATAATATATATATATATATTATTATATTTACTTGAATGTGTGTTAAATTTAATTTTATTATGTGCGCAAAACTATACCCTTAAATAAAGAGTAAAAATACAAATTAGATACAATTTACCTTATAAACTTTAACCAATTGCAATCTAGAAACAAAAATTTCTATAATTATGTTAGTTTTTTTTTTTTTTTACGATTGGCTTTCATACAATATATATATATATATATAATATAATATAATATAACTGGTACTTAAGACCAGTCTATATATAATATAATTAGTAATTAAGACTGGTATAAAGAATCTCTAATTATCCTCTGACTTAATTAATCCTTTGTTTGACAGAAGTTATTGAATAACAAATTTTTAGCAGAGAAAAAAATATTTTTTCTCTTTCGATCTGAAAATAAGAAAATAAATTTAAAATATAAGAATGAGTTTGATATATAAAAATGTGTTTTATTTTTTAAATCTATATTTATCTTAAACGAAATAAGTAAGGCAGTTAATAATAAAAATATGATTGTGAAAATGGTGGTTGAAGTTTAAAATTTTTTTATGTTATCTTTCGGCATTTTTTTTTTTAATAAAAAAAATTAAGTTTAATTATTCATAGTATATATAATCGTTGTACATCTCTACGAATTCATGCTTACATATAATATAAAATATATTTTTTACTTCATTTTTATTATTCTGCATTCTAATATAATTTATATATTTCTTCAACTAAAATAAACAGAAATACTTTAAATGAATTTTCCATAATAATGAAAGTCCAGGCTTTGAGCCATACAGACAGAATGTGTGAAAATATAATAAGAAAGTTTCGCATTCATTTCTATTCAATCAATGGCAACCTAATTACTGCCAGATTTTTTTTTTTTGTTTTTTTAACTTCCACCATGTCAAATCCCAAACCCTGAAAAAACAAAGGAAAAAAAAAAAATTTCATTCCCCCACCCTCCCCCTTCCTATCTTTTCTCGTTTTCTTCCTTTATTCGCTCTTCCGGAGCGATTGGATCTGGTATCCTTTTATAAACCCACATATCTCCTTCAATCCGGAAGATTATATCCACAATTCAATCAGCATACATTTCTTTCCTGTTGCAGACTACATAAGTCAATTTAGGGTTTCGTCTTTCTTGGTTTCTTGTTCTTAGATTGGTCTCTTTTCAGATCATTACTGCTTTTTTAGTGTCCTTTATCGTGGTAAATCTTGTTGTCTTTTTGGGTTTGCTTAAGGAGTGAACGAGTTGGTTGGAGAACGAAAAGGGGAAATTGCGAGTAGCAGATGCAATATTTGGATCGGAAATTGAAGAATTTTTCGGTGAATTTTTTGGAAGGACCGGAAAAAGTTAAGGTTCGAGTTACAATACAAGCTTAGCATCGATGTCTTGGGCTGGACCCGAAGATATCTACCTATCTACTTCTCTGGCCAGTTATCTTGACAGTAAGACCTCTCTCCAATATATTCACTCGCAGATGCATGCATACGCAGGGATGTTTAAATACTAGTTCATAACATGCCATCTACTTCATGTTTTATGGCAATTTACTGATATAAATACCAAACTTTCAATGGGTTCTGGATATTTATTTATTTATTTTTTTCTTGGAAAGAGCTGTTGATGTTAAAAATGGCGCCTTTAATGAAAATTCGGTTGGTTGATTCGTATGTAGTTGTGTAGCAAAAACTTGGAGGACTGTATACTTGGTTGACCTATTGTCTATAAAGATATTGGTTACTCTTTTTTCTTTGGTTCTGGCGTCCGTTGTTTTGGTGTTAAATCACGAGATTGTTTGTCCTTTCGGATGAGATTTCTGCTAGCAAAGCATATTTTTGGTTTAATATACGATTGTAAAACAGCTCTTAAGTCTACAAGTTTGACTTCTAGTGAGGTGTGATCTCAGTCAATTGAAATGGTTCATAGTCGTGTCTTCTTTGATGCAAGACATCTTTCAAGAGAAAGCTTTCTGAATTATTTGGTAACAGTATAGTAATGAAAATACATGCTATCTGCACTTTTAGGTCCATTTGAATCGATCTTAATGTGTTGCAGTGGTGACTACTTTTCTTGAACTTAAATGTGCTGTAGGATGTGTTACAGCTATATTAGTTAAAAAATTGTTATCATAGTTTTTGGTGAGAAACGATGGTCATTTTTTACGTTGGAGATTTGGAGTACAGTGATTCCCTTTTCTTCCCTTACTTGAGCTCTTACTTTTTTTTTTCATATGGCACAGAGAAGCTTCTTGTACTACTTAGAGACGGTCGAAAGCTTATGGGCACTCTTCGTTCTTTTGATCAATTTGGTATTGCCGACTTTTTCTTATTGATTGCTTTTTCAGTCTGAGATTTTTTTTTAGATAAATGTTTGAAAAGATGATTAATATTTATCATATGCAGCCAATGCTGTTCTCGAGGGTGCGTGTGAGAGAGTGATTGTTGGTGATCTTTACTGCGACATCCCTTTAGGTCTCTATGTCATCCGTGGGGAGAATGTTGTTTTAATTGGCGAGCTGGTACTATACTAGTTATCATTTGATTTCTGCATGCAATTTATTAGTGC